GGGTTTAGGGTTTAGGGTCTAGGCGTATTGGGGTAGTGGGGGTTGATTACTGGCTTAAGGGTTTGAAGATGCTTTGGGCCTTTAAATGGCTTTTTGGTGTTGAGGGAAAATGGATCCGGACCTGGAGATCCACAGCATAGACCTCCTTGACGGGCAGCGGCAGGGCGATCTTCTCCTCATCGTAGAGGGGAAGCCACAGGCAGATCACCAGATACTCGAACTCGGCGAGATTGCTGCCGTAGCTTAGCTCGAGGTCTTCCAGTGCTCGGCATCTCTCCATGGCTCTTCGCATCCGGGGTTCAGCCAGCAAGGGGCTGCTAAGGACTCGCATGGACAGCCATGATGTCTTTGGAGCGCTGCCGAGCCTTTCGCGATTCAGATCCCGGGCGCTGAGGAGGATCAGGTCCGGCAGGAGCAGGCGGGCCAAGCGCCGCGCCTTGCTCGCCAAGACCTGCTGCAAAGGGTTTAGGGTTTAGCTTAGGGTTCAGGGGATTAGGGGTTTTGGGGTTCAGGGTTTAGGGTTTAGGGTTTAGGGCCCAGACCTGCTGCAAGCGCACGGCATTCCGCCCGCCGTGGAGCGATCGGAACATCTTCGACAAAACCAGCAGGTGAAGTTGGAACTGGGCTCGCAGAACCTTGGCAAGCGCCGAGGCGGCCCGGGCCCGCTCCTTAACGTCCTAAGCCCAAACCCTTGCAGGGGTCTGGTATGTAGCAGAAAGGTGTCAAGATAGCAATTAGACCAAGCTCCTCAGAACATAGTGAACCTCAGTTTACACTAGTGCTAAACCCTAAACCCCTAAACCCTAAACACTGGTCTTCAACCCTAAACGGCCCCAAAGCCTCAACGAAACACTTGCTTCGAAAGACGAGCTCGGCCCCTCGAGCGGAGACCCCACCCAGAGCACCAAGGCACCCAGGCCTGAACCCTACCAGGACCCCCCAAAGGCGCTTAATATTTGAGTACTTCGGGTATATTAAAGGGTACAGTAGTTAGGTTGGGGTCTAGGAAACCCAAATCCTCCAAAGCTCTAAGTGGCACAACACACGGCCCGCAAGAGGTTTGAAACGCAGAAGCCGCACTGTTTGGGGGGGCTTTCGGGATTTTAGGGTTCAGGGCTTTGGGCTTTAGGGGCTGGGTTTCAGCTGGGCATACAAGGCCAAGCCCGGGCGCTTCGGCAAACTTCGCACGCTCCTGGCCATGCAAGGCTTAGGGTTTAGGGTTTAGGGTTTAGGGTTTAGGGTTTAGGGTTTAGGGTTTAGGGGATTGCGGGTGAAACGTTCAGAGAGGAGTGTTCGGATGGAGAAGCTGGCCCTAAGCCCTAAACCCTAAACCCTGCCTTCGGGTTCTAGGCTCAAGGGCTCTTGAAATTGTTTTGAGGCTCTCGGGAGTTTCGGGTCCGTGTTAGGGGTTGAGGCGGTGTTTGTGGCCTTACCCACTGCGGGGGAAAAAAACCCACGAAAAAACAATGACGTTGCCAAACGTTTCGAGCCAGACCAGAGCAATACTCGGCTTGGACTTCATAAGTCTCTAAACCCTAAACCCTAAACCCTACGCCCTACGCCCACATATCGGAAGACCATGGGAGACAAGTGTGGGAAACGTTGACAGACTGTGAGATGTCGGCCTTCGCTGTCATACCACGTAACAAGAACCCACTGGTCCGCTCCTCCTTCTAAAGTGTCCTTCCCTTCCTCGCCAAACCCTGTCGCGCAGAGAACTTTCCCTTTGCTCAAAACGTCTAATCTCCTTCAGCGGGTTTGCTGCTCTTTCTCCAAGCTCCCCCGCCTCCCGTCTCTTCTCTTTTTGCTTCCATGGAACCCTCTAAGTTCTACGCGCCTCCCTTTCCAAGGGCTCAGACTCAGGGGGGATGCTGGAGGCTCTACTCCGGCTCCTCCATGTCCACCAGGGAGCTGGGAGGGCGCAGGATTTCGGCACTGGTGGCCAGGTCTTGCTCAATGACCTCAGGCTTTAGGGTTTAGGGTTTAGGGTTTAGGGGTTTAGGGCTTTAGTGTCGAAGGTCTGGGAATGTAGGGCAAGGGCTGCGCGGTGGTCTGAGTGACTCAACTGCCACAGGCCAAGTTTGCACACACAAGCCACAATGCGAACGCAAGGCCGCAAGCCCAGAAAACTCGAAATATGTACAAACACCATTGGCATGAACACTCACTCTAAGTTCCAGGCGATAGACCAGAAACCTAGCAGCTCCTACAACCTCCAAACTTTAAAATGCATCCCCGAGGCTCCCGGAACTCCACAACTACACCCTGCGTTGCATCCTCCACCCTGTGCTGAGGCAAATCCACTCCCATCTGCACATGCCGAGAAGGGCTTTCACCATAGGAGGCCAGGGAGCAGCCCAACGGTTGAAGGACGTGGCCTGAATGATGAGGCTTGCCGTCTGCGAGTCGGTGTCCTTCATCTCCTCGCCGCATTGTAAATCCACTTGAGCTATGGGCTGAGCTCCTTGAAGGGGAATATAGGGGCTCATACAGGGGATTATATAGGGTATCATATAAGGGGATTATATAGCGATTACATAAGGGATCATATAGGGGATTATACAGGGGAGTATAGGGGACTACTATAAGGCATATGGAAGGGGATTAGAGGAGTTTCGACTATAGCTCACATTCAACCCATTTGAACCAAAGCTATCGATGTTCGAGTGGTGCTTGAGCTGTAGAGCTCTCAAGTGGATTAAAGCTTTTGAGGCTTTTTCAGGACCTTCGATAAACCGAAACGGTGAAAACCCTCGTAAACTCTAAATCCTAAGCTCTGAACCCTCAAAAACTCTAAGCCCTAACTCAGAACCCTCTCCCCTACAGTCTAATTTATGGCTCTCTTTTAGAGTTTGGGTGCCCTGAGGTTGGAGCCTTCCGGGTTTGAAGCACGTCCCCCTGACGACTTGCTTCTGAAAACCCTAACTTTAAACTCTAGACCCTAAACCCTAAACTCTAAGCCCTAAACTCTGTCAACATTGAGTTTTGAAACCCTCAACCCTAAACCATGAACCTTCAACCCGAAACCCTAAAGCCTAAAGCCTAAACCCGAAACCCTCAACCCTGAACCCGACATCCCTAAACCCTAAACCCTTTCCTTGCCTAAGCGGGAGGTCTCAACTCGAGAAGGCTTGGGGCTTAGGTTTTTCTGTATCGTCGGTTCTTTGGGGCGTGTGGCGAGGGTAAGATTTAAGCGAAGGTATCTGCCCCGAGGCTTGCTCCGAGAAAAGCATGCTTGTAACCCATAAAATCATGCGAGACTGGAGATGTTCCCAGAGAACCCAATACCCCTTAATTATATACGGAATATACTTTAATTAAGCTGTATTGGCTTCTCTGGGTTCTGGGAAAACCCACCTCCAGCCACAGATCGTCCATCATGGACATGTCTTGAACTTGCACCTGAGTCGAAAGTCGAGGAGGGGTCCCAACAGCTGAAGACCCCCAGCTTTTGAAACAGTTGGTTTGGGGCTTGGGGTTTAGGGGCTTTAGGGGTTTAGGGGGGTTTAAGTTTCAGGGCTTTAGAGCGGTTAGGCTTTAGGGCGTATTCTTTACAGTAAGCGTTTATGGCTATAGAATTTTCCCAAACCCTAAACCCTAAACCCTAAACCCACCTTCCAAACTCGGGCTCCGAGGCGCCTGGGCGGCTCTGACCTGCGCGGCCCCCAGGCGCAAGAACTCCTCTGCAACCACCTCGTGCTCCGGACGGTTTAGGGTTTAGGGCTTAGGGTTTAGGGTTTAAGGTTTAGGGTTTAGGGATACTACGGTACGGTTTTTACAAGGAAGTCCCAAAACAGTGCGGTTTTTTATTTAAAGATACGATGGTTGGAATAGAGAACCCAAAAACATAGTACTGGTAAGTACTGTATTCAGGCCCCTATATGAGCTTCATGAGGGTTTCAGTGGAAGGTGGTATGCGGGTTCTGGGGCAACTAGAGCTTAGGGTTTATCGGGCTTCCGGTGTGGGGTTTGCCTGGGGTGTAGCGAGATGGCTTGACAGCTCAAGGGCTCAGGGATGGAGCTTGGGCCGTTGAAGCTGTTCCGATGTGAGTTTGGGCGTGTATGCGACAAGTGTTAAACTCTTGGCTGACGGAGGGCCCAAACGAAGCGCAAAAGTCTAACCCTGAACCTGGAAGACTCACTCAGCCCGATTCACTCAAACCCCCTCAAACACTCATCCCCACAAGTAAACCGCAAACCCCTTGACCCTCAATAAACCCAAAACCTAAACCACTTGTCCCTCAACTTGTGGAACCCAGAGCCTCAAACACCAAACCCAAAGCCCTGCACCCCGAACCCCCGCAAACCTGAAATCCCTGAACTTCTAAACCCTCTGAACCCTAAACCCTAAAACCCGAAACCCTAAAACCCTGAATCCGGAACCCTAGACCCCAAACCTGTAAAACATAAGCCCTGAAAACCCGCGACCTTCTCGCTCGCTTTGCCGGCCGTGTCTTCCAGCTGCGCAACGCTGAGCCTTCCGTGGTTTTCTCGTTCAGAGTTTAAAGTTTAGGGCTTTAGGGTCTCAAGGCTTTAGGGGTTCAGGTGTTACGCTTTCTTGAAATCAGACCTGACAATGAGATTACGGGTTTAACCTCGCACCTCGTCGGCCTCACGACCTCAACGCCCGACATCGCAGCCTACCCTCGCGACCTCGCGGCCTCCACGACCTGACCTCGCGGCGCGGCCTCGTAGCCTGGCGGCCTCAGGACCTCGCGGCCTCAAAAGCGGTTGCTCCTTATTTCTCAGATATTCTAACCGCTTTCGAGCGAATACTCTATCCCCTTCAAAAGCGTTGCTGCTTGTTTCTCAGAAGCTCTACTCGCTTTCGAGCGAATACTCTAGCCCCTTCAAAAGCGTTGCTCCTTGCTTCTCAGATATTTTTGTCCCTTTCGAGAGAATACTCTATCCCCTTCAAAAGCGTTGCGCGTTGCTTCTCAGATACTTGTGTCTCAGATGCTCTAGTCGCTTTCGAGCGTTGACTCCCTGTTTCTCAAATTCTGTACTCTCTTTGGAGCGGTCTGCTCCTTGCTTCTCAGATACTCTAGTCGCTATCGCGCGAATACTCTATCCCCTTCAAAAGCGTTGCTCCTTGCTTCTGAGATACTCTAGTCGCTTTCGAGAGAATACTCTATGTATCCCCTTCAAAAGCGTTGCTCCTTGCTTCTCAGCTACCCTACTCGATTTCGAATACTCTATCCCCTTCAGAGGCTTACTTTTTCTCAGATTCTCTGGTCCCTTTCGAGCGGCTCGCTGCTCTTATCTCAGATTCTCTAGTCCCTTTCAAGCGGTTTGCTGCTCTTTTCTCAGTTTCTCTAATGGTCTGCTGCTCTTTTCTCAGATTCTCCAGTCCCTTTCGCGCGGTCTGCTGCTTTTAACAGATTCTCTAGTCCCTTTCGAGCAGATTCACTGCTCTTTTCCCAGATTCTCTAGTCCCTTTCGAGCGGTCTGCTGCCCTTTTCTCAGATTCTCTAGTCCATTTCGATCGGTTCGCTCTGTAGTCCCTTTCGAGCGGTCGGCTGCTCTTGTCTCAGATTCTCTAGTCCCTCTCGAGCGGCTCGCTGCTCTAATCCCGGAGTCTTTGGTCCCTTTCGAGCGGTCTGCTACGCATTTCTCAGATTCTCGAATGCCTTTGGAGCGGTTCGCTGCTCCGTTCTCATATTCTCTAGTCCCTTTCGAGCGGTCTGCTGTTGTTCTCTAGTCCCTTTCGAGCGGTTCGCTGCTCTTTTCTCAGATTCTCTGGTCCCTTTCGAGCGGCTCGCTGCTCTTATCTCAGATTCTCTAGTCCCTTTCGAGCGGTTCGCTGCTCCGTTCTCAGATTCGCTAGTCCTTTTCGAGCGGTCTACTGTTCTTTTCTCAGACTCTCTAGTCCCTTTCAAGCGGTTCGTTGCTCTTTTCTCAGATTCTCTAGACCGTTTCGAGAGGTTCACTGCTCTATTCCCAGATTCTCTATTCCCTTTCGAGCGGTCTGCTGCTCTTTTCTCAGATGCTCTAGNNTCTAGTCCCTTTCGAGCGGGTTCGCGAGCGGTTCGCCGCTCTATTTTCCCAGACTCTCTAGTCCCTTTTCTTAGACTCTCTCAGTCCCTTTCGAGCGGTTCGCTGCTCTTTTCTCCGATTCTCTAGTCCCTTTGGAGCGGTCTGCTGCTCTTTCTGCGATTCTCTATTGCCTTTCGAGCGGTTCGCTGCTCTTTTCTCAGATTCTCTAGTTCCTTTCGAAGGGTTCGCTGCTCTTTTCTCAGATTCTCTAGTCCCATTCAACCGGATCGCTGCTCTAATCCCAGATTCTCTAGTCCCTTTCGAGCGGTTCACCGCTCTATTCCCAGATTCTCTAGTCCCTTTCCAGCGGTTCGCTGCTCTTTTCTCAGATTCTCTAGTCCCTTTTGAGCGGTCTGCTGCTCTTTTCTCAGATTCTCTAGTCCCTTTCGAGCGGTCTGCTGCTCTGGTTCGCAGCTCTATTCTCAGATTCTCTATTCCTGTTCGAGCGGCTCGCTGCTCTAATCCCAGATTCTTTAGTCCCT